AATGCACACTCGTGTTTTGCTGCGTTAGACTGCATTTTGACTTTGTGATATCATGCATTAAACTCGGATAAACTGGCCAAGAATTTGTAACATTGCACCAGAAGCCAAGATCAGACGCCAATACCTGTGCACCCCTTGATTAGGAAGCCCACATCAGAGATCTTTGGCATGGCATGTTATGGTGTCTCTCAATAACAGGTGAACTCTGCTCAATCAACTTTTTTTGGCTCTCTGCTGGCCACCAATCATCTTAGTGGACCTCTCTTAAAACAGAAATTTACTTTGGGTTCAAAAGGCTACATGTACATCTGTGGGTTGTGATTGGTTGATTTTGATCCATTACGCCTGTTTCTTTTTTTTTAAAGGTTCATTTGGTTCTCACTGTAATAACATGATTGATAGCAGCCTAAAATGCAAATATTGTTACATGTAGTTAGGTTTTTGAACCCCAGAGTTCAATAATATTTTGTGTCATTGAAAAGTGTAGTAATATACTCAAGTCCATTGTTGAATTATGCAAGCATATGTTAACTTTTGTGAACATGAGAGAAGTGTGCATGTACTTGTTGTGCAGCTAAACTCCTTTTTCTCACATGTGGCTCTACATGCTCATGTACTGCACAGTCAAAAAATCATGTGTGCTCAAGCTCATATTGTACGCTGTGTGCTTAACAGTTCCTTACAAAAGCCTACAAAATGTATAGGAATTCTAACTCTATCTATCAATGGCAGAATTTGAGTGCTCATACCCATCAAGTAAAAACTATATGGCTGCATTTGCATACACCTGTACACTGACAGTTGTTTTCTGTTCAAGGTATAATCAAGCAATCCATGGCGCCCTCTTTGAAAAGAAAGGAGTCAAGGCTATATCTCACAAGAGGGAAAACAAAAATAGGTAAGAGATGAACAACTTGAGTCAGGCATACTCATGATACTGGAATACGGTGTATGCTACACAGATTTGTAACATGTGCTTCAATGATAAAACTTATGGTTCGTCAGCGTGCTCTATAATTAATTTCTTTTTACATGTACAGTTTCCTCTATCAAGGGAGATTTCAGGAGATTTCAAATTAATATGTGATGTTTGTCTTCTTACATGTATGTCATTAAATTCTCAGATTAATAAGACAGAAACAAATATGCTTGCCTGCATAGTAAATGTTCCCATATGAAGAGCTCTGGCTGCTCACAAATTGGAGAGAGAGCAAAAAAAAAAAAAAACTGATGAAACCCCACCCCAATATTTTTGCTCTCGCTTGAGAATGCTTGTATGCAAGATGTTCCACTATAAAAGGGTTTCCACGTTTCTTATATTTCACACTGATTAACAGGTCAGTGTGAAAAGTAAATAATCTTGCAAGTACATTCAGTATACAGGGTGTTGTTTCCAGGACATTGATGGAGCAGAGATGTATTTTATAGTGAATAATCATGTACTTCAATGCTGTTCATACAGGCCCAGAGAAATGTCATCCAAGAAGCCAGTTTCTCGATTAAGACAAGTCATTCCAGTTAAAAA